GCTCAAATTTCTTCAGGTAAATCAAGATTCGTTTTGTTTTCTGGGGTGGGGGACGCCGAGTCTTCGGCGAAAAGAAACTGTTCAAATTGCCATGTATATTTAACATTCTGTCGGAGTTTCACCCAACTTTATTCATATATATATATATATATATATATATGTGTGTGTGTGTAAATTATTTTCAGATAGAGTGTATATGTAAAGTAATAAAATGAAAAAAGGGACAAGAGGAAAACTATTATTAGCCGACGCGTTTCGTCTTGTGAGGGACTTTATCAAGACAAATGTAAGGTTTTTTTTTTGTTGCACGCGTTTATATACAAAGGCGAGGATGATATTGGTTTATCAAGGCTTTTAAATTTGAGAACGTTCATGAATGATCATCAAGTGGTTGAAAGGTCAGTCAAAACATATGGAGGACAAAAAGTGTCATAATTCAAAGTCTAGCCAAAAGTAAACGAGTAATATTCACCAAATCCTACATTGTCTTGATAAACGCGACGAGTAAGAATAGTTTTAACTCTTGTCACTTTTTATTCATATTTATATATATATATATTCGTGTGTGTGTGTGTGATTTAAAAAATATAGCTTACGTCGTTTGATTGTAAACGTGCCGCGTAAGTGTTAACGAAAAATAAATATGTGGAATATATATATATATATATATATATATATATATATATATATATATATATATATAATAAAAGGCTTAAACACTAATATTCCATGGAATATTAGTGTTTTATTTTTTATTATATCCTTAGTTTTCTGTCCTAGACATTGAGTTCTACCTGGATCCTTCCTCTTGGAAAATTTTTTCTGAAAATATACATGTATGGGGAATTTTTTAGATATATTTTTCATATGTATGTATATTTTACACTAATATATATATATATATATATATATATTATGAAATTGAAAAAGTCCGACAATTATTTTTAAGTCATTTTATGTTTAACAGTCTTTATATAGATACAAATATTTAAATAAATGTTCTGTTTATTCAGGCCGGTAAATGTTGTTTAATACTGTTTATTATAAACAGAGCACTTACTTAAATATTTTTATCTATAAAAAGAATGTTAAAACATAAAATGTCTTTAATATATATATATATATATATATATATATATATATATATATATATATATATATAACTCTTCAAATTTAATTTCCATATATTCCCCCTCTATAACCTCTTTACCTATATTAATTATAATTTATAAATTTTCCCCTATTCGAAGATATCTCCCCCAACACTCTTTCCATTAATCCCTTACATCCTTTTATTTAGGTACCTCCACGAGATCGCTAAAAAAAGGAGAATAGCATGATGAAAAAGACGCCAAACTTGACGAAAACAAAATTTTATCGTCTAAATGTTTATGTTATTATTAAGAGAAAAGATCAAATTTATTTATTTTAGTTATTTTTAAAAAATTTTCCTTCTTTTTAGGACAATCTGAATTTTCATTTAAAAATCCTTGTTTCTCCTTGTATCACCGGAAATAGTAAAATAACATATACAATTAATAAAATTTACCGGCCTGCATATCCAAGAAATATGTGACGAATTAATGTTTTTAAATAAATAATGGGCTTTGCTAACCAGACGCTTCCTTTGTAGCTAAATGGTATAGCACGTCAGGCTATATGACGGTTCCGTATAGGATACAGGTTCGGAAGATACATATTTTCTATGAATTTTCTCGGACATTCAGGCCGGCAAATGTTGTTAATACTGTTTCTTATAAACAGAGCATTGACTTAAATATTTGCATCTATAAAAATAACGTATAAACAGAAAACATATTAAAATAATTTTCGTTCATTTGATAATAATATTTATATATTTATATATATATATATATATATATATATATATATATATATATATATATATATATATAATGCCTTCTCAGGTCTATATTGATAATCGTTATTGATAAATATGTTTAACTTTATATACAATAAGGAATATTTAAAAAATATAAAAAGTACGAAAGCGATATACAGCGAAATAAAATAAAGCTATACATCTGGATAGATTAGACGTCGAAAATTACATGTAAAGCAGAGCATCCCAGTACCTTCATCGTTTTTTTATGTAGTAAAATTGTAACAGGCATTTGTTATATTTCTTCCGCCACCCCATATATAAATATTTTGTTGGTAGTGTCTTTATTGGAAGTGCCTACTTATTTTTCATTGTTGATTTTGTAAGCTGTTTTTATTTTGGTTTTTTTTTTGGGTTTTTTTTTTTAGCGTTGGGAATGAAATGATGTGGACAGTGAAAAAGTTTAAACGTTTTTCAATGTATTTATCTTCTTTATCTAGGTATTCTAGGCTGAATGTACATTAGAGCACTTAGAATAGGAAGCCCAGAATACCTACATGAAGAAGAGAAATACATTCATTGATAAACGTTTATATATATATATATATATATATATATATATATATATATATATATATATATATAGAGAGAGAGAGAGAGAGAGATAAATAGATAGATAGGTATGTATGTATGCATGCATGTATATACAGATTTAAATACAGATTTAAATATGCACAAAGGAATTCTTAAGAGTGCTTTAGGTTAGCACGTCAGATGAAGAAAGCGTTAGCAAAGTTAATTGAAAAAAGAGCAAACATTCGCACTGCAGGAGAAAATATGTAAGAAGAGGGAGGAAAGTATATTAAATTACATCAAGTGCCTCTGTGCAAACAAAAAGAGCAATTTATTCGCTGTCCCTGTCATTTATGAGGAGTATAAGAAAAAAATTTTCTGTTTTACACTCACCATGAACCATTTCGTTTTCCTTCGTTTCTTCCTCCCACACAGACAGTCTTCTCTTTTCCTACTCGTTTTTATTAAAGAATACTTCACCAATAAAGTCTAATTTTATTCATGGTTCCTTTTTCTTCCTCCTTACATATTTTCTCCTATATATTATATATGAATGCATATATATATATATATATATATATATATATATATATATATATATATATATAATACGTGAATATATATTTATATATAGGTATATATATATATATATGTATAAATATTTACATATATATATATTTATATGCATAGATATTTACATATATATATATATATTACTATTTATATATTTATACATATATTTATATATATATACATACTGATGTATATACATATATTTTCAGATATATATATATATATATATATATATATATATATATATATATATATATATATATATATATATATATAATGCATTCTCAGATCTATTTGGGCAATCGTTATAATTTTGTATTTTCAAAAATCTGTATATAGATCTATATTTATCAAATATTAAAATGTATTCCTTCAATATTTCTGTGTTTTAGTTTTATGTGTGTTTTGACAATTTGAATTTATACACTAAATTTTATATTTGCATGGTGGCATGTATATTGGGCATCAAAATTACTATGCCTAAATCAACGGGCTTACTTGGATGATACCCTTTTTATTGGAGTGTAAAGCGTTAGATGTGCCTCGCAAGTCAGGAGGTAATGGTAAATTAACTTTCTTTTTAATAGGGCGACTCTTCATTCCTACGATTCCAATTTTTGCTTTTCCAATAATGAATGCTTCTCGGCGGATTCTCGAAGCCATTTTATAATCATTCGTGTATTTCCCCATATCGAGGCGAGAACCACTATTCGACTGTATAGATGACTTAGAGTCATGATCATCATCCTCGTCGGTCAGTAAAATGCGAAGCTTCGACATTCCTTGTTTCGCTCCACTTCTTAGTTTCTTAAACAGAACTCGGACTCCTTGAGAATCAGTTCCCGATATTTGTTTTCCTGGTTTGCCTGTTGTTGCAACATTGGATTTCTGCATATTTGGAAGACGTTGATTCAGGCCATTATTATTGTTACTTTCATCCAAGTCATCACTCTCATCAAAATCTTTTTCTTCCTCACTTTTGGTCATTGAGAGGATTTGTTTCCCTTTTGAAGCAATCCGGTTTTTATTCATTAATTTGTTTGATGATTTTCCAACAGTTGCTGCTGCTCGACGGATTCTTGAGGCCATTTTGTGATCATTTGCGTATTGTTGCGAGTTGAGACGAGAACCACTACTCGACTGTGTAGTTGATGTAGAGTCGTCCTCATCGTCTTCGTCGTCGAGAGAATTGGGAAGATTCACCATTGATTGTTTATCTCCACTTGGTTTCTTAGACAGACCTCTGACACCTTGAGAATTAGTTCCCGATATTTGCTTTGCTGGTTTGCCTCTTGTTGCAACATTGGATTTCTGCATATTTGGAAGGCGTTGATTCAGGCCTTTATTATTGTTACTTTCATCCAGGTCATCACTCTCATCGAAATCTTTTTCTTCCTCACTTTTGGTCATTGAGAGAATTTGTTTCCCTTTTGAAGCAATCGGGTTTTTATTCATTAATTTGTTTGATGATTTTCCAACAGTTGCTGCTGATCGACGGATTCTTGAGGCCATTTTGTGATCATTTGCGTATTGTTGCGAGTTGAGACGAGAACCACTACTCGACTGTGTAGTTGATGTAGAGTCGTCCTCATCGTCTTCGTCGTCGAGAGAATTGGGAAGATTCACCATTGATTGTTTATCTCCACTTAGTTTCTTAGACAGACCTCTGACACCTTGAGAATTAGTTCCCGATATTTGCTTTGCTGGTTTGCCTCTTGTTGCAACATTGGATTTCTGCATATTTGGAAGACGTTGATTCAGGCCTTTATTATTGTTACTTTCATCCAGGTCATCACTCTCATCGAAATCTTTTTCTTCCTCACTTTTCATCAATGAGAGGATTTGTTTTCCTTTTGAAGCAATCGGGTTTTTATTCATTAATTTGTTTGATGATTTTCCAACAGTTGCTGGTGCTCGACGGATTCCTGAGGCCATTTTGTGATCATTTGCGTATTGTTGCGAGTTGAGACGAGAACCACTACTCGACTGTGTAGTTGATGTAGAGTCATCCTCATCGTCTTCTTCGTCGAGGAATGGAAAGCTTAACCATTGCTTGTTTATCTCCACTTAGTTTCTTAGACAGACCTCTGACACCTTGAGAATCAGTTCCCGATATTTGTTTTCCTGGTTTGCCTGTTGTTGCAACATTGGATTTCTGCATATTTGGAAGACGTTGATTCAGGCCTTTATTATTGTTACTTTCATCCAGGTCATCACTCTCATCGAAATCTTTTTCTTCCTCACTTTTGGTCATTGAGAGAATTTGTTTCCCTTTTGAAGCAATCGGGTTTTTATTCATTAATTTGTTTGATGATTTTCCAACAGTTGCTGGTGCTCGACGGATTCCTGAGGCCATTTTGTGATCATTTGCGTATTGTTGCGAGTTGAGACGAGAACCACTACTCGACTGTGTAGTTGATGTAGAGTCATCCTCATCGTCTTCTTCGTCGAGGGAATTGGAAAGCTTAACCATTGCTTGTTTATCTCCACTTAGTTTCTTAGACAGACCTCTGACACCTTGAGAATCAGTTCCCGATATTTGTTTTCCTGGTTTGCCTGTTGTTGCAACATTGGATTTCTGCATATTTGGAAGACGTTGATTCAGGCCATTATTATTGTTACTTTCATCCAAGTCATCACTCTCATCAAAATCTTTTTCTTCCTCACTTTTGGTCATTGAGAGAATTTGTTTCCCTTTTGAAGCAATCGGGTTTTTATTCATTAATTTGTTTGATGATTTTCCAACAGTTGCTGCTGCTCGACGGATTCTTGAGGCCATTTTGTGATCATTTGCGTATTCTTGCGAGTTGAGACGAGAACCACTACTCGACTGTGTAGTTGATGTAGAGTCGTCCTCATCGTCTTCGTCGTCGAGAGAATTGGGAAGATTCACCATTGATTGTTTATCTCCACTTGGTTTCTTAGACAGACCTCTGACACCTTGAGAATTAGTTCCCGATATTTGCTTTGCTGGTTTGCCTCTTGTTGCAACATTGGATTTCTGCATATTTGGAAGACGTTGATTCAGGCCTTTATTATTGTTACTTTCATCCATGTCATCACTCTCATCGAAATCTTTTTCTTCCTCACTTTTCATCAATGAGAGGATTTGTTTTCCTTTTGAAGCAATCGGGTTTTTATTCATTAATTTGTTTGATGATTTTCCAACAGTTGCTGCTGCTCGACGGATTCTTGAGGCCATTTTGTGATCATTTGCGTATTCTTGCGAGTTGAGACGAGAACCACTACTCGACTGTGTAGTTGATGTAGAGTCGTCCTCATCGTCTTCTTCGTCGAGGGAATTGGAAAGCTTAACCATTGCTTGTTTATCTCCACTTGGTTTCTTGGACAGACCTCTGACACCTTGAGAATTAGTTCCCGATATTTGCTTTCCTGGTTTGCCTGTTGTTGCAACATTGGATTTCTGCATATTTGGAAGACGTTGATTCAGGCCTTTATTATTGTTACTTTCATCCAAGTCATCACTCTCATCAAAATCTTTTTCTTCCTCACTTTTGGTCATTGAGAGAATTTGTTTCCCTTTTGAAGCAATCGGGTTTTTATTCATTAATTTGTTTGATGATTTTCCAACAGTTGCTGGTGCTCGACGGATTCCTGAGGCCATTTTGTGATCATTTGCGTATTGTTGCGAGTTGAGACGAGAACCACTACTCGACTGTGTAGTTGATGTAGAGTCATCCTCATCGTCTTCTTCGTCGAGGGAATTGGAAAGCTTAACCATTGCTTGTTTATCGCCACTTGGTTTCTTGGACAGACCTCTAACACCTTGAGAATTAGTTCCCGATATTTGCTTTCCTGGTTTGCCTGTTGTTGCAACATTGGATTTCTGCATATTTGGAAGACGTTGATTCAGGCCTTTATTATTGTTACTTTCATCCAAGTCATCACTCTCATCAAAATCTTTTTCTTCCTCACTTTTGGTCATTGAGAGAATTTGTTTCCCTTTTGAAGCAATCGGGTTTTTATTCATTAATTTGTTTGATGATTTTCCAACAGTTGCTGCTGCTCGACGGATTCTTGAGGCCATTTTGTGATCATTTGCGTATTCTTGCGAGTTGAGACGAGAACCACTACTCGACTGTGTAGTTGATGTAGAGTCATCCTCATCGTCTTCTTCGTCGAGGGAATTGGAAAGCTTAACCATTGCTTGTTTATCTCCACTTGGTTTCTTGGACAGACCTCTGACACCTTGAGAATCAGTTCCCGATATTTGCTTTCCTGGTTTGCCTGTTGTTGCAACATTGGATTTCTGCATATTTGGAAGACGTTGATTCAGGCCTTTATTATTGTTACTTTCATCCAGGTCATCACTCTCATCAAAATCTTTTTCTTCCTCACTTTTGGTCATTGAGAGGATTTGTTTCCCTTTTGAAGCAATCGGGTTTTTATTCATTAATTTGTTTGATGATTTTCCAACAGTTGCTGCTGCTCGACGGATTCCTGAGGCCATTTTGTGATCATTTGCGTATTGTTGCGAGTTGAGACGAGAACCACTACTCGACTGTGTAGATGACTTAGAATCGTCCTCATCGTCTTCGTCGTCGAGAGAATTGGGAAGCTTCACCATTGATTGTTTATCTCCACTTAGTTTCTTAGACAGACCTCTGACACCTTGGGAATTAGTTCCCGATATTTGCTTTCCTGGTTTGCCTGTTGTTGCAACATTGGATTTCTGCATATTTGGAAGACGTTGATTCAGGCCTTTATTATTGTTACTTTCATCCAGGTCATCACTCTCATCAAAATCTTTTTCTTCCTCACTTTTGGTCATTGAGAGGATTTGTTTCCCTTTTGAAGCAATCGGGTTTTTATTCATTAATTTGTTTGATGATTTTCCAACAGTTGCTGCTGCTCGACGGATTCTTGAGGCCATTTTGTGATCATTTGCGTATTGTTGCGAGTTGAGATGAGAACCACTACTCGACTGTGTAGTTGATGTAGAGTCATCCTCATCGTCTTCGTTGTCGAGAGAATTGGGAAGTTTAACCATTGCTTGTTTATCTCCAGTTAGTTTCTTAGACAGACCTCTGACACCTTGAGAATTAGTTCCCGATATTTGCTTTCCTGGTTTGCCTGTTGTTGCAACATTGGATTTCTGCATATTTGGAAGACGTTGATTCAGGCCTTTATTATTGTTACTTTCATCCAAGTCATCACTCTCATCAAAATCTTTTTCTTCCTCACTTTTGGTCATTGAGAGAATTTGTTTCCCTTTTGAAGCAATTGGGTTTTTATTCATTAATTTGTTTGATGATTTTTCAAAATTTGCTGCTGCTCGACGGATTCTTGAGGCCATTTTGTGATCATTTGCGTATTCTTGCGAGTTGAGACGAGAACCACTACTCGACTGTGTAGTTGATGTAGAGTCATCCTCATCGTCTTCGTCGTCGAGTGAATTGGAAAGGTTAACCATTGCTTGTTTATCTCCACTTAGTTTCTTAGACAGACCTCTGACACCTTGAGAATCAGTTCCCGATATTTGCTTTCCTGGTTTGTCTGTTGTTGCAACATTGGATTTCTGCATATTTGGAAGACGTTGATTCAGGCCTTTATTATTGTTACTTTCATCCAGGTCATCACTCTCATCAAAATCTTTTTCTTCCTCACTTTTCATCATTGAGAGGTTTTGTTTTCCTTTTGAAGCAATCGGGTTTTTATTCATTAATTTGTTTGATGATTTTCCAACAGTTGCTGCTGCTCGACGGATTCTTGAGGCCATTTTGTGATCATTTGCGTATTCTTGCGAGTTGAGACGAGAACCACTACTCGACTGTGTAGTTGATGTAGAGTCATCCTCATCGTCTTCGTCGTCGAGTGAATTGGAAAGGTTAACCATTGCTTGTTTATCTCCACTTAGTTTCTTAGACAGACCTCTGACACCTTGAGAATCAGTTCCCGATATTTGCTTTCCTGGTTTGCCTGTTGTTGCAACATTGGATTTCTGCATATTTGGAAGACGTTGATTCAGGCCTTTATTATTGTTACTTTCATCCAGGTCATCACTCTCATCAAAATCTTTTTCTTCCTCACTTTTGGTCATTGAGAGAATTTGTTTCCCTTTTGAAGCAATTGGGTTTTTATTCATTAATTTGTTTGATGATTTTTCAAAATTTGCTGCTGCTCGACGGATTCTTGAGGCCATTTTGTGATCATTTGCGTATTCTTGCGAGTTGAGACGAGAACCACTACTCGACTGTGTAGTTGATGTAGAGTCGTCCTCATCGTCTTCGTCGTCGAGTGAATTGGAAAGGTTAACCATTGCTTGTTTATCTCCACTTAGTTTCTTAGACAGACCTCTGACACCTTGAGAATCAGTTCCCGATATTTGCTTTCCTGGTTTGCCTGTTGTTGCAACATTGGATTTCTGCATATTTGGAAGACGTTGATTCAGGTCGTTATTATTGTTACTTTCATCCAGGTCATCACTCTCATCAAAATCTTTTTCTTCCTCACTTTTCATCATTGAGAGGTTTTGTTTTCCTTTTGAAGCAATCGGGTTTTTATTCATTAATTTGTTTGATGATTTTCCAACATTTGTTGCTGCTCGCTGGATTCTTGAGGCAATTTTATGATGATTTGCGTATTCTTGTGAGTTGAGACGAGAACCACTACTCGACTGTGTAGAAGAATTAGATTCATCATCGTCGTCTTCGTAGTTAAGTAAAATACGGAGCTTCGACATCCCTTGTTTCGCCCCACCTCTTAGTTTCTTAAACAGTGCTCGGACTGCTTCAGAATCATTTCCCGATATTTGTTTTCCTGGTTTGCTTTTTGTTGCCACTTTTGATTTTTTCATATTAGAAAGGCGTTGATTCAGGTCGTTATTATTGTTACTTTCATCCAGGTCATCACTCTCATCAGAATCTTTTTCTTCCTCGCATTTCATCATTGAGAGAATTTGTTTCCCTTTTGAAGCAATCGGGTTTTTATTCATTAATTTGTTTGATGATTTTCCAACATTTGCTGCTGCTCGACGGATTCTTGAGGCCATTTTATGATCATTTGCGTATTTTTGCGTGTTGAGACGAGAAACACCACCAGATTGTGAAGTTGATGTAGAGTCATCCTCATCGTCTTCGTCATCGAGTGAATTGGGAAGCTTAACCATTGCTTGTTTATCTCCACTTAGTTTCTTGGACGGACCTCTGACACCTTGAGAATCAGTTACCGATATTTGCTTTCCTGGTTTGACTGTTGTTGCAACATTGGATTTCTGCATATTTGGAAGACGTTGATTCAGGCCTTTATTATTGCTGCTTGACTTCTGGTCATCACTCTCATCAAAATCTTCTTTTTCTTCCACACTATTCATTGTTGGGAGGATTTGATTTCCGTTTGAAAGAATCTGATTTTTATTCATTAATTTGTTTGAAGATTTTCCAACAGTTGCTGCTGCTCGCCGGATTCTTGAGGCCGTTTTATGATCATTTCCGTATTTTTGCGTGTTGAGACGAGAAACACCACCAGATTGTGTAGATGACTTAGAGTCGTCCTCATCGTCTTCGTCGTCGAGTGAATTGGAAAGCTTCACCATTCCTTGTTTATCTCCAGTTAGCTTCTTAGATAGACCTCTGACACCTTGAGAATCTGTTCCCGATATTTGTTTTCCTGGTTTGCCTGTTGTTGCAACTTTGAATTTCTGCATATTTGGAAGACCTTGATTCAGGTCTTTGTTATTTTTGCTTGAGTTCTGGTCATCACTCTCATCGAAATCTTCTTTTTCTTCCTCACTTTTGGTCATTGAGAGAATTTGTTTCCCTTTTGAAGCAATCGGGTTTTTATCCATTAATTTGTTTGATGATTTTCCAACAGTTGCTGATTCCCGACTACTTCTCCCAGTCTTTTTATGATCATTCGTGTATTTTCGCGAGTGGAGACGAGAACCACTACCCGACATTTTGGATGGTATAGAGTCATCCTCATCATCATCATCGTCGAGTAAGTTGGGGCGCTTCGCCATTCCTTGTTTCTCCCCACGACTTAGTTTATTAGATAGAACTCGGACTCCCTCTAAATCAGTTCTTGATATTTGCTTTCCCGGTTTGCTTACTGTTTTCAACACATTGGAGGGCCGTAGATTCAGGCCTTTAATATTTTTCCTTTCATTCTGGTCATCTCTTTCATCAAAATCTTCATTTTCTTCCTCGCTTTTCGTCGTTGAGAGGTTTTGTTTTCCTTGGGAAGCAACCGGGTTTTTATTCATTAATTTGTTTGATGATTTACCAACAGTTGCTGCTTCTCGGCGGATTCTCGTTGCCATTTCATGACCATTCGGGTATTGTTGCAAGTCGAAGTGAAAACCACTTCCCCACAGTTCGGGTGCCTTTCCCATTTTTTCTGCTGCTGCAATCTTATTGTGCCATTTCAGCAAATTGGAAAGCCGTAAATTCAAGCCTTTCATCTTCTTATTTTCATTCTGTTTTTCTCTGTCATCAAACTCTGCTTTTTCAGCATCACTTATTCTTGTTGTGCAGTTTTGTTTTCCTTTAGAAACCGTCAGGCTTATACTCATTAACTTGTTTGGTGTTTTTCTTTCGCTAATGTCTTCTGTGGGGTCCATCCCTAAAGAACCGAAACTTTTTGTAGAGTGAGTATCGTCTGCAATTTCATTGTCAGTTTGAATTTGACCATTGGCGTTCCTTTTATCTTTCACGGCGTTCAGAATTCCAGCGTTTCTTTGGTCTTTTGCTTCGTCACTTTTTTCTCTTTGCCCCTCCTTGTCTACATTCTCACTTTCCGGAATTTTCTTAGATTTTTCTTGCAAATTCGACTTAGTGTACTCATGGTCTTTCTTTCCATCCTTCGTTGGAAGTCTTCTATCCAATTTCCCCAATGTTTTATTTTCACTGGACCCTTCGCTAGTATCAAGATTTTCTTTCTCAGCAGTTATCTCCCTTGAAAGTTCTGTCTTATTCCTCTCTTTTGAATGAGTTCCTTTTGTTTGTTCTGTTTCCATTTGAGCCTCTTTTTCGTTGTCATCAACTGACTTCACGTCTTCTAATTCGCCACCTTTATTATTCTGGACCTCAGAGCGGGAATCACCCACAAGCGATGATCTCTCGTCTTTTTCTTCCATGTCATCACCATCAAAATCATCATTATTGTACTTACTGCTGTACACTCTTACCACATACCGGTCACTAGTTCCTCTGCCACTTAAACTTTCACTGTTTATATACTTTGGTTCTTCATCGTAGTCTTCTTCGGAATCGTGTTTTTTGACCGTTTCAAGCTTATCAACAAAACCCGAAACAAATTTCTTTGCTGGATCCACGTCTCTGGTGATGCGAGGTTTCGTCTGATTATCATCTTCTTCTGACTGACTTTTAAATTCATCCAATTTGGTGCTTGTCTCAGCACTAAGGTACTCTTTACTGGACAGTTCTAACACCCTCTCATCCATATCAACACCGAATTTCTTCCATAAATTCTTTAGAGTTGGCGAAAATCTCCGGGAAATCCCGGAAGTTGTTCCCATCAGAATATTCTTTAATGTTTTCTTTTCCCGTCGATTTTGGGAGTTGGGATCTGGGCGTGATTCTTGAGATTCCTGTTTACTGGTTGATGTTGTCGGGTAGAGCTCATCTATTAGTTCATAGCTTGCATTTTTGTTCATCAGGGCAACTAGCAGCTCGTAAAGTTGGTCATATTCTTCGGGTCTAAAGTGTTTATCCAACCAAGCCTCCGCAATTTTTGTTAAATTCTTTTCGTTAAAGGCCTGCGCTATGCCACTATGGTCATCCATTTCATTTGACGAGGAATTAACTTCGATCTCAGAACTATCTTCCTCCTCAATGCGCTTATTGTCTGACGGGTCTACAATTAGAGAAAAGTACACAAATTAAAATAAATTTGACGTGAATCCTCATCGGGAACAGAAAGAAAAAATAGTTTATATTAGATCAGAACAAAAGTTCGTCACGTATTTGAAATCAATTTTAATTAATTTTTAATTATTTTTTATTTTCCTCTTGTTTGTCCCATTTTTAAATTAGGCATATTTTAGAATAGTCGCTTTTTTGACCACTTCCGGTTCAGTCCTTAGTTATAACTAGAACCAGCACACATAATAAACCACAGATCAAGACACGCGGTTTCTACTTTCGTGTCCTTATTTTCTGCACGTAATTTCTTAACCTTTTTCTCTGGGTACTGGTCTCCTTTAATATCTTATTATTATTTAAACATTTATTTAAGTTAACTACGTTATATACATTTATTTTTACTGTCATGCGTCGTCATGTAGCAGCTTTTTCATCATATATTGACAGTTTTCACACTGTGTCATACTGTTCCAACTAGGGATTTATGCAGAAAACACAATTATTTACTCCTCTCTTAGCAGCAAGTCCGACAGATCCGACAAAGTAAACCTGAGAACTGCTCTCGAAAATGACCTCAAATCAGTAGTTAACTTGTAAATTTTAACGCCTCCCCCCAATAAAAAAAATTCGTTCCTTTCATCTAATCACCACAGATAATCTTTTCTGCTTACCATCAGCATTGCAGATGCTAAACCTCAGGAGAGAAACTCAGTGCAACTTTTGGGGCTCACATTTTCCATTGACATGAAGTGGGGTGATTATATTGGATGAATTGCTAGGTCCACTTGCTAGGAAATTTGGTTCATTGTTTCATGACTGTCAATTCCTCTCGCCAAGTTCCATCTTATTTCTAAATCTAACATTCATCTGTGCATTGAATATTGCTGCCATATCTGGTCTCGTGCATATACGAGATATCTCGAGATTATAAACAAAATCTACAGAAGCCTTTCTAATATTATCTGTCCTGAGCTGACATCTTATACATTTCTAAATCTACCATTCATCTGTGCATTGAATATTGCTGCCATATCTGGTCTCGTGAATATACGTGATATCTCGAGATTATCAACAAAATCTACAGAAGCCTTTCTAATATTATCTGTCCTGAGCTGACATCTTATACATTTCTAAATCTACCATTCATCTGTGCATTGAATATTGCTGCCATATCTGGTCTCGTGCATATACGAGATATCTCGAGATTATCAACAAAATCTACAGAAGCCTTTATTAATATTATCTATCCTATATTATATATGCGGCTTGTTTATTATAGTTCTTCTTTCCCTTTTTACTATTAGTCTCAAGGAGGCACGGTGGAGTAATGGATAGCAGCTCGGATTGAGGAATCGAAGATCCGAGTTCGAATTCCAGTCGAATCCATTGCATTCACTTACGTGCTAATACCCTTGGAAAAGGTATGAATCCTCTTCTTTATGGGTAAATAGCAGGGTGACACCTGGTTTACCGCAGAAAGTAATGGCAACCTACTGCGGGAAAAAATCTGCCTCGTCAGAGCTTGTATCAAGCATGGCACCTAACTGACTGATTAGTCTCAAATTCCTATTTATTTCTCATTCTAGTTTCACCCTTTTGGCTTTCAATAAACCTGCTGATGAACCGGATTTTGTCTTCAGAGTTTTGATTGCCGTTAGGCATTTATCTGGCTGGCTGAGGTAGGCACGTGCGTGTATCAGGAGTCAAAATAACATCCATATGAGAGCTCTGATCCGGCATGTGTATATAGGGATGAGCGTTGAAAAGGACACGAAGAATATTACAGAAAACAAATGAAATGAGTATGGTCCAAGATAAACTTTAGAACAAAGTAAATAGACATGAAAAGAGAAGAAAGAAAAGTTATACGTACCCAGGCATGAAATGGTATTGAAGATACCCTGACATTTTCCCGCTACCCATATAACACCAGTGGCGATTCCATAACTCGAACCGAAAATACACGAATTAGGAATTCTTTCTTTTGCGAGTCGTACAGTCAATATTGGAAGGTTTTCAATGACTGGACATAGTTTTACCGACCCGTCTAATGTACTGCAGGAGATTCTTCGCGCCAATTTTCGACAGTCTAAAAATGAAAAAAAATAAGAAGAATTATCAGAATCTAGCTAATTTGGTATACAATTTGGTATATTCTCAGTTCTTTTGCATATACGCTTAGCTTAGCCTCTTCTTCATGTCTCGTGTCTCCTCAGGACGTAGGCGATCATAGCTCTCCACAACTTCCTATCTTTTGTATCTCTTAATAAATCTTGTCTTTCTGTTATTTCTCCTAAGCTTTATTTCGCCATCCATTTACTCGAACTCACTAAGTATGTTATGCGTTGTTTTCCTCTATCTCTCTTGCCTTCAATCTGTCCCTGTGAGTATCCGATTCTCCACGCCCTCCTTCCTGTGCCGCAAACAGCTCAACTGTCTCTTCCTGACGTTAATTATAAATTTCCTACGTCGTCTTTGCTCACATGTTCGGTCCATGATATCCTTAACATCCTTCTACTAAAAGTTTTAAAAAATGAGGCCTAGACAAGTTATTCTCAATGTGGGGCCCTTAGGATCCAAAAAGTGGACGTGAGACACCAGAAGTAGTGTAGTCATTAGTCAAGATTGATATATATATATATTTTGCTTTTGTAAATAAAATGTATTTCCTGATACATGGAATTTCTATTTGTACTTAACTGGGCCTGTAGCTTTTTGAGGACCAAAACAGGCCACAAAGAAGAAAAGCTTTAGAAACACTGTTATAATCCAGGTGAACAATGCTTTTTTTTCTTTTTTTTTTAAGTGTTTCACCCCAAGCAAGGCGGGAAGCCGCTAGGACGCAAGGGGTTACAGACGATTTGGAGCAAAATCAGATAGGAATGATAGAGGAAAGGATGAGGAGAAGGATAGTGGATAGATCAAGGCAACTGGAGATGTCGATTGATATTACATTTGAATAGTTGGAGATTATAGCTCACAGGGAAACTGGAATAGGGAATGGAGTTCCACAGGTGAGAGGTGCGAGATATGAAGCTATTGAAGTAGAAGAGACGGCTACATTTAATAGTTTCGACAGAGAAAGGGTGAGAGCGGGATGCCAGCCTCGTAGGGCGCTTGAATTCATGAAGTCTGGGAACCAGCGAATGCAGCTCCTTGGAGCAATTAAAAAAATAGGATTGGAGTTCAACTATCGACGGGAAATGCTCGCATAGATTACACTGATGTGCCAAAAGTCAGGGGTTAGCACTCGCTAAAAGTGATGGAAGGTACTGCCACTGTACCTAAAATCGTTGGAATATCTAAACGTATATCGGTTATGCTCGGGCATCCACTGAATCAGCGTGAACAACGGTTAGGCTGCTCTTGGCCAGAATTGGAGCGAGATATGATGAGGCATTTCATTTCTGAAATTGTGGGGACACTTGACGTCCTTCCATGGTCCCCTACGCACCGGGAATAGCAGGTAGACGACATGACCGCCAACCCTAGACAGCATAGTTGCGCACTATGGGCCCTTAATGATTGAGGCTATAAACTTCTGGGTAGAATTGCATGTGCTACCAAGTAGCACTTAGCTCGAAATAGCATCTGCACTCATTTTAGGAGGTACCAGACGCATACCTAGCAGGTCAGTTCCGTTTTGGGGTACTGGAACACACACACACGCGCGCGCACGCGCAAACACACACACATACATATATATATATATATATATATATATATATATATATATATATATATATATATATATATTGATGCATGTTTCATTAAATAATATAGACAAGTTTTGTCTATTTTAAAGTTCCTTTCATATTGAGCTAATTCTGGTGGAAAGGGAGATGAGGTAGCACTTCAAAGCCACAATTGGCTGCTTCAAAACTGAACAGTGTTAACGAGTGCTTTAATCTGGCTCTCACCAGCACAGAGATTAAAACAGAAATCTGAATTAGTTTCCCTAGTCTTATCAGAAGTGGTTGTGCGTCGCAACAACAAAAATGTTCAACAATGGCTCTTCTTTCTGGACGAGGCTTAGAACATTTTGAACGATCCTCATATATATATATATATATATATATATATATATATATATATATATATATATATATATATATATCAGAGACGGGAGAAGCGAAAATCGAATAATGTAGAAGTGTATTTTTTCTGCACAAAATTTTTGTGTAGACGTATAAATCACTTATGTATGATTATCGTATAAAATTTGATTCAAACGACCAAGGTAGTTCGTCACTAATTCTTAAACTATTTATTGGATATAACGATAATTTACTTCATGTTACTTACTTGTGTCCCCATAGTACAATCCTAAATGTTTCTCGGCTTCAGCAATCGAAATCAAATTCATTGCCAAAACGAGGCTGAGTATGAACAACGCCGCCATGTTATTCTTCATCAATAAAACAATTTGGGCTGACCTGAAAAAATATAAGAAAAGATCTTATTAGAGCCACAAAATTTAGTTAATGCAATAAAAACAGACATAGCAAAAAGAGAAAAGGGAAACTATAACTACAGTAGTTGGCAATACGAAAAAAGGAAAACATAAACAGAGAAAAAA